CCCCATGCACATATGCACAGCTGGATTTCCTTTCCATGCACTGTCGTATTTGGTACCCTATAAGGCATTGGTACCATTTTACAGGTAAGGAAACTGAGGCTTAGAGATGAACGGAAAGGCTGTGAATCCTGGCAGGGTCCCAGTGCCTGTCGTCTTGGCCACGACATTGTACCGCATCTTCGGGCAATAAAGCGACTCTCAGAGACAAAGTGGCGTCAGCAGGTGCCAACTGACTTTTCAGCTGAGTTGACTAATACTCTTCCGGCTGCTGGCTCGGTGGCACAGAGGTACCTTAAGACAATGGGCCTCCCGGGCAGGACCGCTTCCTAAAAGGGAGGGGACAAGCGACTCCCTGGAGCGTTGCTGGCACGTCCGACCCCCTGGTGGGCTTTCTGGCTGGCTGAGGGTGACGGTGCCAAACGGTTTAAACTCTGCAGGCAGAGCCCTGCCTTTGATCATGGAAAGAGCAGAGCAGTCACAAGCTCAGCACTCTTGCCTGTGTGCTGCTCACGCTGACTGCCAAGTGGCCTCTTCTCGTCCCAGAAAAGATAGCTGCACTGGGGACAGCAGGGGACAGCTGAGCTGGCAGGGAGGGGTGAGTCTTAATAACCAGCCCCAAAGTGTGGAGCGTGGTTAATGACTTCCAGAGCGCCTGCGTGGGCCTCCCACTCCGGTCGATGGGTGGGTGTGACGAGTCTCCGTGCCACCTGTCGGGACAGCTGGGCCTAGACCCAGGTCTCCAGCCTCTAGATTCTGAGCTCTTTCCAGGGTTTCGCACAAGGATTCACTCAACTGTTAATGAACCAAGCGAGGAAGACAAGGGGAGCCAGCCTGGGGTGGGTGGAACCAACCCTTTTCCGCAGCACCCGCTCGCGAGGACCTTTGCTTTTAGGGGAGATGAAGTCTCCCTGGCTTGGTGCCATCTCCACCCTTCTTGCCCCGCTAATGCCATCGTCACTGGGTTCTGCTGACTTGATCTCCCACGTCTCCCTCTAACCTGCTCCTGGTACCTCCTGCATGCCAGCCTCCCCTCACCCCTCTGGTCTGTTACCCACGTGATGGTTTGGGGACCCGTCGGATCATGTCGTCCTGCTCTGCGTGAAGGGATAGAGTCACAGGCCATCATGTGCCCCTCCAGCTTCCTGTCGCAGCAGCCTCAGTCCTCTGTATTTCCAGGCTCTGCCTCCCAGGACTTTGCACTTGCTGTTCCCTCCAGGGGAACTCTGAGCCCATCTTCAGGCATCAGCTCACATGTCATTTCCCCAAGGACTGGAGGGAGGGCGGGTGTGGTAAGAAGTGTCATCAGCCAGCCATCGGGCAGAGCTCTGGGTGTGGGTTTTGTTCATGGTGGAGTTCGGAGCGGGAATGTGACGCGAGCTCACCCCATCCTGTGTAGGGAATGATTGCATTGGGTCAACAAGGAAAACCAAGACCCTCGTCGGCTCGTTCAGATGACCCCCCAGGGGAGAGCTCATGGCAGCTTTGTCCGGGGAGGTGGCCGTGAAAGTGGCAGTGATAAGGAGGGGGGTGGGCTTTATATATTTATAAATATACATGAGAGAACCTAGAATTGCTTTCCTGAAACTGTTAAGATTAAATACATTTTCTTAACACACATACACAGTTATAGATATTAATCCCAGGTATATATGTACACTTAGATGTATTGATAGGACATAGTTGTTCATTTATAATTTATAATATATAATTAAGGTGTAGTTCCCCTTTTGAGAAACAAACCCCAAACTCCTTTGGGGGGGCAGGGCAGGATGGAAATCAGTTGTGATTGCTTATAAAATATTTCAGTGTTTCCAGTAAATTGGAATAGCAGGCATGTCATAGTCTCCCCTGTTTTAGTCGTTGTCGCTTTCCCTGGCAAAACAGCAGCTATGTTTGGAAGCCAGAGTTTTCAGTTATGGGCGACTTCACAGGCTATAGGCTTTGGCCTGAGGAGCTGGGTGGCTCCCGGCGCTGTTTCCCGAGGCAGACGGGCGTGTGCCAAGAAGAGGCCTTGGGGGGAGAAGGCCTGGGAGCGCAGTGTGTGACCTTGGCCCTCTGCTTCTCTGCCCCTGCAGTGATCCCCAAGGTCACCAAGCACCTGCTCTCCAACCCTGTGTTCACCTGCATCATCCTGGCCGCCTGCATGGAGATCGCGGTGGTGGCTGGCTTCGCCGCCTTCTTGGGGAAGTACCTGGAGCAGCAGTTTAACCTCACCACCTCTTCTGCCAACCAGCTGCTCGGTGAGTCTGTCCCCGGCGCCCTGGGAGGGCGGGGAGGCTGGCGTGCTCGCCGTGAAGGCGACAAGCGTGCAGGAGCACACGCGCGGTGCCCTGCAGCAGAATTGCAAAGTGTGGTCTCCAGGTAAGACAAGCCCACCTGAGGCAATTATTAAAAACGCACGGCCAGAAAGAGCTCAGATATAAAACGTACGCGGGAAGCATTGTGACAGGCCAGGAGGTCGATGGACTGGGGCGAGCTGGAGAGTTGGGGGGAAGATATGGGGAAGGAAGAGGGACATCAAGACGGATCTTGAAAGGTTTGGGTTAGGCCTTGGTCGGGCACATAAAAAGCAAGAATATTCTTCGCAGCATGAAACCCCTGGCCGGCAAATTCAGAGCTTGGAAGCCATACGCTCCCGTTCTGTCCGCTTGCCTGTGGCAGATGGAATTAGTGGAGGGTGACAGCCCTTCCCCCCAAGCTCAGGCCCGGTCCCACTGTCCTGGGCGGCAGGCATCCCCCCTAATTGTTCGGCGCAGGCTTGCCAAAGGAACCCCGTTTCCCTCGTGGGAAGCAGTGGCACTTACTCGAGTGAAGAAGGTGGCCTCCAGCCCGTGGGAGAGAGGGAAGGGTAGGAACGGCCCCCAGATTCTGGCTGGAAACGTGGAAACGGCAGAGAAGACGGGCCTGCGGGGAAGGTGACGAGCTGAGGTGTCAGTGCCTGTGGGGGACACCCGTGTCCCGGGCCTGTGATCGGCTCAGAGCTCAAGATCGGGGTCGGGAACGTCGGCGCGGGTGCATCAGTGTGTGGCCAGCCGTTGAGGGCTGGGGCTGGAGTTTCCTTAGGGAAGGTGGAAAGAAGGGGCGCAACACAGCTGTGAAGAAGCAGGGGAGCCTGTAGAGAGCTTTAAGCAGCCCCCGAAAGAAGCCCCCGGGTCACGGTAGCCAAGGACGAGAGGGTTCAAAGAAGGAAGCAGCCAGCCGTGTGCGCTCACAGGTCCCCGCCAGCTTTGCAGCAGGACCTGCTCCGCCCGCGTCAGGGCTGTGTCCGCGGAGTGGTGGCGGGGGCCCGGGGGCAGGGATAGACCGTGGCCGCGGGACCCTTTCCCGAGGCTTAGCCGTGGAGGAAGGAAGGTCGGAGGCCACGGCGGGCGCTGTGGTTGGGAGCTCAGGGACAGGAGCGTGAAGGGGGGGTTGCTGGGTGCTGTTGTGTCAGGAGAGACGCTGCCCAGCAGGTTTCCAAGCAGAGCGACACGAGGCAGCAGAAAGCGATCTGCAGAAGGGGGGAGTGGGGGGGGACGGCCCCCCGTTTCAGGGCTCACCTGTTCCCAAAGCGCAGAGCAGGGCGGCCTGGGGGCGGCCGCTGGAGTAGGCCAGGCCGGCTGGCTGGCGCCTCGGAGCCCCAGCCCCGTGGGGTGCTCGTCTCCGCGGACTGGGAATCGGGTCCCTGCTGAGAGGAGGGGCGGGGACAGGAGTGTGATGGGGGTGTTGCTGAGCTTGTGGTGTTTTCAGTTACTTCCCAGCATGGCCCGTGCACAGATGCAGAGGGCTGCCCCGTTGGGGGTCAGGAAAGCGCCAGCCGACCCCCCAGACCTGCGCTGCCAGGCGCGGTGCGCACGGGGAGC